AATTCTCATTTAAAATTCGCGCGCTGTATATTTTTCGATATTTTAAGTTTATGTAGTTTGGCAGCACTGTCCTTAATTACTATGCCAAAAATGAGCTCGATCTGTCAGACAGTTCGTTTACGGCAGCTGTTGAAACCAGTTCACCTCAGTAGTGCGTTGCGAAATGTCTTCGACGGTCGTACGACCGTCCTGGAAGGCTTTGTACCACTCATAAACTTGAGTTTTCGATAAAACTGATTCCCCATAAGCCTTTTGTAGCATTCGCAACGATTCTGCACACGAAATTTCGTTCGAAACACAAAATTTGATGCAAACTCTTTGTTCAATATTTTTTTCCATTGTTTTTTTCGCAACGCCCTACTGAGGTGAACTGGTTTCAACAGCTGCCGTAAACGAACTGTCTGACAGATCGCGCTCATTTTTGGCATAGTAATTAAGGACAGTGCTGCCAAACTACATAAACTTAAAATATCGGAAAATATACAGCGCGCGAATTTTAAATGAGAATTTCCGAAAGCTTTTCGGTCCTTAATGTAATACGGGTATATCAAATTAAAATACCCAGTTACATTTTTACATATTATATTCTATAATATATAATATAATACAATGCAATATTTTTTCACAGAAAACATGCGTATATAATATATATATATCACATGTTGTTTAATATTTGATATTTCTATAAATATCAAAATACTAAATTTTATCAAATGCTAAAAGGTTTTTTTCACTTAAGGAATATTTCAATAAACATCTGTAGTGAAAGTTCAAAGGTATCTATCGAAAGAGCGTTCCGTAAACAAAAAAATCACTATTAGATTTGGCATTTGTTCTGGAAATGTGAATCACGTACTTTTTTAAAACTACCTAGGCTATAATCTTCTGGTTACCAATTTTCCTTGTGTATATTTATATATTCATATATATATATATATATAGCTGTGGATGATAAATATTTTTAATGGGACGACAAAGGACAGAACACACTACATTTTGACTTGGTTGCTTAAAAAATTTGAACATAATTAAAGCATATGGTTTATAACTACTTGACATTTTTTTTCGACACTGAAAATATATATTCGTCAAGTTATGGCTGAAGAATTACTACCAATAAGTCATCAACATGTATCGTGAAGAGCATTTGAATATTGAAATAAATAAAAAAAAAATAAAAAATAAAGTAAAATAAAAATTTAAAATGTTTTGTAACTAAAAACGGATAACCCTATATGTCTTTTTAATTTGTTAAATGAAAATATTCCTGACTTTCTGAAGATAAATGATATGTGAAACTCATCACCGCATATTTTCATAACACTAAATTGTGTGAACCAGAAATTTGATTAGCTAAGAGACAAGCTGTACTTTAATTCAGTACTAAAAAATTTTTTTAAGATTACACCTTAATACTTTACATTGTTTTACAAATTTTAATTTGAATTAATCAATTTTTTTTAAAAAAACCCTAAATGTATTGCACTATAAACTCACTCTTCTGCCACATTTTGCTGTTCTAATTCAGTCAAAGACTCTATAAGCTGTTTCCTTTTATGTTCCACATCCTTAATAGTTGAAAACTTTGTTTCATGATCGCCATAAGTACTCTGATTGTAGCGATTTTTTCGTTCAATTTCTTCCAGATTCCGTTCTTCATCTAAATCCATACGCAGTATTTCTTCTTCTGCATCGAACTTATCCCATTGCGCATAATCTGTAGACTTAATACGCTTTGAATTATTAATGTATTTCAAATTGGTTTCAACATTGTCATTCTTCTCTTGTTTATCAAAAATTTTACCCCCTTTGCGTATAGGAGCAAAAGACAGTTCAAATTTCTTTTCCTCTTTATCGCTGATACTCAGTTCATTTAACATCTGGTCCGTGCTTTTGATGTCCTGATTCCAATTCTAATAAACACAAATGTAATTAAAAATGTAATGTGAAATTAATGACTGAAATACATATATTCGTTTCCATTCATCCAACGGTAATGCACTACGCTCTCGCAACTGCTCCTCGTAATTGAAAAGTTTGCTGTTAGGTTGTAATTCACGCAGTTTTTCTTCAGCAGATTTAGTTAGGTCAGGGTAATATCCTTCTTCGCCTGAGCGTAATATTTGCACAATTTTTTCCATTTCATTGGCATTTGTACATGTTTTTACATATTCAAAGTCCAAGTGGTTAAGTGGAATACCATAACGTTCTAACAATGTCCTTTTATTTTTAGTAGCCATTTCGAAAAAAAAAAAACAATTGTGTTTGGTTTGTATTTAATTTTACTTATGTTTTATTTTAAATTCAGAAATGTTTTTTAAATGTTTTCTATGACTCTCATTTCAAGTCTGATATGATATTAATTTTTCGAGTTTATTGAACAAACAACATTTGAGTGATTTTGAAGAAATTGTTGCTAAGGGCCATGTTATGCAGAGTGTCTCTGGCACGGCAAATTACGCTCTTTCGGGCTATGCCGAAATGCATGTTATGGAGAGTGTAACATCAGTATTGCCAATTTTGTATTTTTACTACTTCTTGGTTGTGCCTAAATTTAAAAAGAAATTTAGATGTACTCGCTTCAATTTGCCAACAAAAATAACTCGTATGAAAAAACTTATAGGGCTGTAATACTGTTAATTTATTATTATATTATATTATAACAATTGTTGACAGTACTTACGCCTTTCATTGAAATCGGAAAGTGTAATAATTATATTATTAGCGATTTATACAAAAATGCTGTGTTGCTTACTGCTGTGTTGCTTACGTTTCTCCTAAACGTATTAGAATTGTAGTAATTTGCTCCTAAAAGGCGCAAATTTTGAAATTTATTACTAAACAACACTGTTTTGCCTTAAGTGGCCCTTAGACAGCAACGCGAGTTGAGAACTCCCTCGCTATCACACATTAGTGCTGTTCATATTCGAATTTACGAAGTATTCGAAGAATTCGAATAGTAAACGAAGTCTTCGAAGTTGAAAAAAACTTTGAAGTTTTTGTGAATTTTTGTTCTCGAAGTCTTCGAAGTTTAAGTGTAGTGAAAAACTTCGAAGACTTCGAAGATTTCGTAAGCAAAAGGTGAAGTGAGAGCGCAAAATGCAAACAAACGTGCATCACACAAATTATTTGAGGGATGAAAGCATTTGCTTCGTTTGTACGGTTTTGTTTTTTTTTTTTGGTATTCTATGCAGAAAATTAAAAACATGTTTTTTTATTAAATATGTATTATAATATATGTATATTATTATTAAATATGTTATTATTAAATATTATTTATATTAAATAAAAAATTTACGTTTTAAATAACTTATATTTATTATTTATATTTAAAAAATTATATTTACAATAAAAAAATCAAAAATTATTTTTTTATTATGCAAAAAATAAATTTGTGCTTACCTGTGTGATCATCACAGCTCATACATGTCTAATAATTATGCATTAATGAGCAAAACTCATTTTTTCATAACTAATTTTCAAGGTTTTAATTTGTGATTTTTTTTAAAAGAAAAATGAAAACTTTTATAAAATTTCCTTTACTAATAAAATCCATCAATATCAATTTTTGCATATTATTACGTATATATTTTATATTATATTAAAAATTTTCTCAAATATGATTTTTTAAATATAAATAATAAATATAAGTTATTTAAAATGTAAATTTTTTATTTAAGGGAGGTGTAGCGCACATGCATCTAAGACATGCTTTGGTATGAACAGTGTCATGGAATGTACTTAACTAGCATATTTCTAGCGCTTATCGCGCCAGCAACAATATCGCTTGCACAACAAAGTTATGTTGTTGTATATTTACTAATGCATGCATGCTGCTCAGTATATAAAATTATAATGCTTACGTATGCATATGTGCATACGTTTCAGTTTTTAAATAAAGAGTTAACCGTATAACCTCCATTTTCATTTACGGAGAGTGGTTAAAACATTACAAAAGTCGTCATGGTCGGGGGTTCCCGTTATCCATTTCCAGACGGTACCTAATTCATTTATTCCTCTTTTGAATCTTTTATTTTTGAGTTGACTAAGTAAAGTTTCTACTTGTTCTACATCCATTTCTATATCAAGGAATTCTGCTTGGTTGTAAGAATGTTTTTTCTTTTCGAATTCGAAAAATTGTTATTCGTCACGTAAGATGTCTCTATAATAAGTTAAGTTAGTAACGTGTAGAAGGTCACTATAATTTTGGTATGTCAAGGCGTCATTGTATTTTTACCCTAGTGTAGTCTATTATTTCGCCATTTACTGATAATATCAGTATGATTAATTCGAGGTATATTGCTAACATGCTGGAATAAAAATCAAAAAGCATTTGTTTATATATATTTATTTTTTATATTATCCTTATGAATAATTCTATTTCTATTATAAATTCTAATTTTATTGCCAAGGTCTTCTTTTACTATTTGTTTTCTGAATCTTGGTTGTAACTTCTTTCGTTCAGCAATAATTTTTTCATTTATGACCTGGCCTACATTGAAGCTTTTATCTAAACGGCCTTTATAATCGCATATTAGCATTCGTGCTTGTGCCATTTTCAATTTCTCATGAATTTGTTCATGATTGACTTTGTTAAAGAAAACGTCACTCGGTTTTTCTTTAGTGATTGTGTGGGTAGTTTTGTTATACTGTTGGGCAGATCTCAATATGACTTCCAAGTCATTTACAAGATTATATTCTTGTTTAATATATGTACCAATCTCAACAATTGTTGAGT